GCAATTAGTAGGAACACTAGAAGAAGAAAATCACGAGCTGCACATTCGATTACAATGTATCGTGGTATGATATCAGTAGAGATATCCAAGAAAATAAATTAAGTCTTTCAAAATGTTTTCCATTCCATGCGATTTCAAAGAATTCCCTTTGTTCTTACCTTCCGAAACATGTGACGTCTTTAGCGTTTACTGTAACGATTCCATTTTTTAGCGACGTCATCAGTTTGTAGCTACGATTGCAAAATTTCAGTGGATCATAGTCTAAGTTGACAAACTGCAAAATTTTCTTATTCATCTAAACTATAAGGTTTTCTATAAAACTACTAACCGGTATTATGTCCTTATCCCATGGATCGAAATCAGGCAATATACAAGTATCGAATACACTGACTTTCGTGTGAACTTTCTCTGTTGAATTTTCTTCGTTTAAACCTTCTTCGATTGATTGGTTCTTGGTGAGGTTTCCTTTAAAAAAAGCTTATCCACAGTTTTAACTCAGGCAATTCCTGTTCAATTATAGAAGAGGGATGTTCAAGTTTTGTTGATAATTAAATCCTATCATATCTAATTTGACAGGATTAAACGTCAAATCTATTAAACAATATTTGAGAAAAAGGCAATGTGACAACAAGGTAATAGATTCTTGAAAACTAACCAATATTAGTAAAAGTAGAGCTTTCGCCAATTTCATAGCTAGAATCGCTAGCTATTGTAAAGTCGTCTAGAGATTTGGAGAACCACATGAAGGTGGCAACACCAAGACAGGCACAAATAAACAATCGTGCTGCAGACATCCTTGAATATGTAAGAGAACACTCAACACATAAATGACCCAATCCTAAGCGATTCTTCATTTGAGGTAAACGGGAAAAAACATTGACAAAGTATTAATTTCCGTATTGGGATGGGGATGGAAAAGGTGAACTCTCGCGTGTCAGATAAACCATTTCTCGAAGCAAAAAGCGTAGAAACAATATTCATTTTCTTTTATATATTCTCTTTATTTGATTACTTAGATCTACTCAGACAACTCTTTTGATTTAAGTACCAAATAGGGCTCACAATCAGCATCAAGTACGAGTCCGTATTGTTTTGAAA